ATATTAATATTATATAAAAAGTAATATTAGTATTTAATAGCGCTAAGACATCCGTGCAGTACTCCTTATTTGCCTCCTCAATTCTTACTGTTAGTTATTCTAAAAAGGAGCTTACTATAATTTCGAGATAAATGAAATTGTAGGGATATTCATTCGTACATCACTTAGAGCGTAACGTGATTAGCGCGATAGCGTTGCTTGCGTTTCATTCGAGAGCTGAGAGGACTCCCGTTTGCGCGAGAGTTAAAATCCTGCTGAGGTGTTTTCTTCTTGCATAATGCAACGACCGTCTCCCCTTTTCTCTCTCTCTCTCTCTCGCACGGGAGTCGAGGCTCGAATGCGGACTGTTAGGCGAATTCGTTTCAACGTTGTCGGTCATTGCGAAGGTGTTTCTTGTTAAGGTTGCCGTGGAAACCGTGGGGAGTACACCCCCATTATCTAGCTCCCGACACCTACCGACCGCCCGCTCGTACGTACGCACTACCACCAGGATCTACTGTGCAGTAAGTAGGTCAATATCGGCTAAATCACAGCCGGGATAACCCAGCAGAACGAAAGAGCGTTTCTTTTGCAACGCAGCGCGATTGACAATGCTCTCAGCTGCTTTCGCAAAAGCCAAAGCGGTCGTACGTTCAGCTAGGATTCTTCTTCTTCTTCTTCTTCTTCTTTGTTAGAAAAAACTGATGAACGTCTGAGCTTCCTTCCATACGCGCCAAGATCTTGCTATGAATGAGAGCTGATGTGTGTAACAACCCTGAAAGTCTACTTCACAGCTATAAAAGCCTGGGCTGGTTTGATTTCACCTCCGCTGAACGCTGAAAGCACTACCACATGCACGGCTCTACTCAGTCGTGATTGTATCTCGCATATGCCGAACTTTTACCCAAAAAATGGTGCGAGCACGTGTACGCAATTACAGTTTTCTCTTGATAACGACTTATCCTTGCGTGTTTATTCTGGATTTTCTTCTTTTCTCTGCGAAGAAAACATTTGTTCTATTTGATTTATAATTTAATAAACATTCATTCACTCTTTTTCTAGATGTAATTAACGACGCGGTATTTGACGAAGATCACGACGAGATGGTGGTGGTTAAGGATATCGAAATGTTCTCCATGTGCGAGCACCACTTAGTACCGTTCTACGGCAAGGTGTCCATCGGCTACCTTCCCTGCAAGAAGATATTAGGACTCAGCAAGCTCGCCAGGTAATTAACCCTAAAGCTCTAAACGTCGAAAAGTTAAGCGTGGTCTACAATGAGAACTTAAGCTTTAAGCTCTAAGTAAGAAATTAATCAATCACAGTTAAATTATAGAAAAATAATTAATTAATTGGTCAATTTCTTACTTAGAGCTTAAAGCTTAAGTTCTCATTGTAGACCACGCTTTACGTAGACTATAAATATAAGTAAATTTTATCCAGCGCATTTCCATACGCTTATAACTCCTCTGCAAAAATGATTAAAATTCAATACTTTTTTAATCGATGCAGACAACATCGAGGAATATGGATCTATTAATGTTTCTGCAATTCAATGAAGTTAAAAAAAAGTCATAATGAAAAACAACACGTTTTTACGAACAATATCGTTTGAATAATTGATCCGGGTTAATTGTACTCATGTTTAAGGTTCTAAGTTCAAGATCTCGCTGTGCGCACGTGTGTTAAGGATCTCATTAGGTTCGTCGCAAAAAAACTGGAAAAAAAAAGATTTGCTAATATATGGACAACTAAAAATATTAACTGCAGGAGCAAATTTTCTCGCTTTCATAGCAAAGTTATTTAGTTGTGATAGCTACAAGATTTGCTAATATATATATATATATATATATATATATATATATATATACCCACACAGCAAGTGTGTATATATATATATGTATATATATATATATATATATACACACTTGCTGTGTGCAAGTATATATATATAAGTGTATAAGTGCTTGCCCGGGTATATATATATATATATATATATACATATATATATATACACACTTGCTGTGTGCAAGTATATATATATAAGTGTATAAGTGCTTGCCCGGGTATATATATATATATATATATATACATATATATATATACACACTTGCTGTGTGCAAGTATATATATATAAGTGTATAAGTGCTTGCCCGGGTATATATATATATATATATATATACCCGGGCAAGCACTTATACACTTATATATATATACTTGCACACAGCAAGTGTGTATATATATATATATATATATACACACTTGCTGTGTGCAAGTATATATATATAAGTGTATAAGTGCTTGCCCGGGTATATATATATATATATATATATATATATATATATATATATATTAATATATATATATATATTGGCAAATCTTTTAGCTATCACAACTAAATAATAATTTGCTATGAAAGCGAAAAAATATGCTTCTGCAGTTAATATTTTTAGTTGTCCATATATTAACAAATCTTTTTTTTCCATGCGGATATTCGCGATGCAAAACGTCACTGAGTAATTAACCCGCGAGATTGCGTTGAAGTAACTCGATTAAAGGTCATGGTTGATCTTTCTTTCACTTGGACGAAACATTTAATTGCGATTCCGTCGTATTCTATGAAAACTCCAAGCGTGCGACACATCCTCGAGGATTCAGGTCGTAAAGAAGTCGATCCGAAATCGCGACCTCGAGCTGGATTCTCGGCACGATCCGTGAGCCTCTTCGAGACTCTGTGATAATCGTCTAATGTCGTGTCTGTGTCTAATCGTCGTGATAATGTGTTATCTTTTGTTTCTTTATTTCCCTCGTCGGTCTATTCGATATTCAACAGGCAGTGCCTCGGCAAATTTTGTAACTCGGAGTTGCACGCGGCCTTGATCGGTGACATATTAAGGCGAAAAGATAGAATATGACGAGACTAGTCTCCTAAGACCATACACTTTCACGCGGTAACGGCCCCCGCGGGCTCCGTTTACTTGTTAAACACCGCGTGTTAAAGCGAGTAAACGGACGAATGGTGAAAACCATTCCGCGGACTGACATTCTGATACGGTCTCGGCATAATGGCACAATTTGTAGACCATTATTTCTCTCCTTACGTGGCGATAATTCTTTTTCATGTTTTCTGGGAATATACGAGACAACAGATAATATTTTTCCGATGAGAGGCATCTGTCAAGAGCTCGGAAATAAATCACAGATTTTCAGGATGTACTCGACATCGACTTCCACTGAAGTGAAAATGATGATGAAAAAAATATTTCCGTTCGCAGGATCGTGGAGATCTTCAGCAGACGCCTCCAGGTGCAGGAACGACTGACGAAGCAGATTGCAATAGCAGTGACCAAGGCAGTGCAGCCGGCGGGAGTCGCCGTGGTCGTCGAAGGAGTGTACGTACGCGATCACTTTACGCGAAAGATTCTATGTGTAACCTGGATGTATCATTCCTGAAGTCTACGTGGTCCGCGAGTCGCACAGGAACGCGATAAAAAGTCCGTTTGTCACGTTTGCGCAATCGTGATTTGTAGATGAATCATTTATCGTGAGAGATATCACTTTGTGCCGCGAGCAGCACGGTGAGAGGCTGACGAAATGATGATCCACGAAATAATATGGCGACGTTGCATAATGTCGAGCCAGTTCGCGCTGAGAGGCCGCTTTCCTTTCAATCCGCGGCGTCCCCGGACACGTGGAATAGTTTTCGCAGGTGGAATACGTGCGGGCATGTAAGAGCACGACCTTGCGCTACTGCGGCTCGTGGCCACGCGCATGCACCGGCCAAGGAAGGCAGGCGCGCCGGTGATGGTTCGCAGTTAATTAAAGCATTCACGTAACGATCCGGTTGCTTGTTACACGGGATACGCATTAGTGTGTGCACGAGACTGATATGATAAATCTGCCGGCCGAACCGGGGGTGGGCGAGTATCGTCACCTCCGCCGTCGTGCGTCGATCAGCCGGGGATTATTAATCGTTGCGCGGTGCACGTATCATGCCACCTAGATCGATGGTGATCCACGCTGAACTCCCTGCTCAAGCTCCGTTTGATGGCTTCCAAACACTGAGAAAAAAATACTTGAACGTTTATTTGCGGGATACAAAGATGATTTCCGTAAAACAAAGCTTATTTCTGGAATTAAATTGATTTCTGCGAATCAACTTTTATTGCCACAAATAACTACAATATCACAAGTAAATTTTCAAGCACTTTTTGCTCAGTGAAACGGAACATAATGATGAGATACTTTGGTCATTATTATGAGACACATTCGACGCGTGAAATTTGACTCATGAGACAATAACGTGGGTCATCGGTAGACCACCACCACGCGGCGCAAAATTGGTCCGGCACGGAGGACAGACTGAGGAAAAAATATTTAAAAATTTATTTGTGAGGTATAACGTTTATTTCTGTGGAATAAAGTTTTTTATTTCTTTGAATAAACTCTATATCTGACAAGTAAATTTTCTTAGTGTTGCGCATGGAAAAAAATAATTTGCTGCAGCAGCAAACTAATTTGCTACATATAGACAGTTAAATATAATTCGCTGTGTTAGCCAATTTTATTGCTATGAAAATCTGCTCCTAGCAAGAAAAGTGGCTAACGTACACTGAGAGAGAAAATAGGTTTTGCAACTAAAAAAATTTAGACACATAGCAACTCAACTATTCTTTATAGTTCATGGAATTTAAAACACTTTAAAACATAATCAACTGAACAACAGAAATATAAAAATGTAGTTTTGACAATAAAATCAGTGAATATTATTTATGTATAGTTATATTTTAAAGTTATTGTAACAAGATTTTTTTTATAACTATAGACTATAGTTTTACGTTAACTGAACCATAGAGAATTGTTAATGTCCTATGTGTCCACATCATTATAGTTGTCGCAACTATTTTTTCTTGAGCTGCAAAGTAATATTGACAATAGTCATAATAATCACAGGACTATAGTTCTTTTAATTTCATTTCCATGTTCCATGATAAAGATAACAATTTAATCATTAGTGAATAGTTCTTATAACCATAGTATTGTAGTTGCCATTACTACACATAGTTCATTACATTATGTATATTAGTTACAGATATAATATTCACATAGTCCATTATAGTTATCACGACTATAGATTTTTCTCTGTGTGCAGCAAATTTGCTACAGATGGACAACTAAACATAATTTACTAGCTACTTTTTTTTGTTACAGCAGATTTTCTTGTTATCATAGCAAGGAATTTGGCTCCTGCAGCAAAGAAAAAGTGGCTAATACAGCAAATTATGTTTAGTCCATATGTAGCAGATCTTTTTTTTCCGTGATGAAGTATTTCTGTCTCAGTGTATTCATCACTCATGCTCGCGATCGCGAACTAATTCAGAGAGACGATCGTACACACGTGCCGAGAGCTGCGCGAGTACTCGAAATATCCGCGATGTATCCCCGATAAAAATAGGACTGTCTTAAATGGGAAATAATGAAAATCGTCTGGCTCAAAAATAGCTCACATCCCTGTCGCACTATTTCGGGCGTTATTTCGGCCGACGTTGAGCGCTATTTTTGCCGAGCCCGCGCCATTAACACTGTTACCGGTGGTTATTTTTACCAGCGCCAATGTTATTTTCGCCGGTCAATCATTAATAAAACAGCCGCTCTCTTTCTGTCGCCGCTGTCGTTCGGCTTGCGCGATTGATGCCGCGCGAATAATAAACCGATATTATTACCGTATTGCAACATCGGGACGAGCGTATTTCCCGAGACGGAAAGTTGCGTTACGCGTTAGTTGGTGAAATCTGCCAGTCCGCGAATCGACAGCACTGATAAGAGCAATCATGACGCGCGGGCAGAAAATGGTATGCAAAATATTCATAATGCAGGCGAATCAGTTCGTCTTCGCGCCGCACAAAGACTTAAATATGCAACGCGAGTCGTTTTATTTTTCCTTTTTTTTTTCCATCTTTTTTTCTTGTCGCCTCAGTTGATTACAGTAATCCGTACAATTGATCGATCGATCCGTCGTCGGAGCGAAAAACTCACTTTGCATACGCATTGTAGGCATATGTGTATGGTGATGAGGGGCGTGCAGAAGATCAACAGCAAGACAATGACCTCGACGATGCTGGGCGTGTTCCGGGACGACCCGAAGACCCGCGAGGAGTTCCTGAATCTGGTGCACAGCAAGTAAAACTGAAGACCCGGACCATGTGCCATTATCACCAGGGACCGAGAGATCACTACTTGAAAACGCGCTGATCGTCAATCGCCCCGTCAATCGCCTCCGTTCATCCGATTGCTACCTCGTTGAAAGAACTTCGCCCGAAGAAGCTCGCTGCAGGTCGCCGTCGAAGTTCTACTTCCCTCACCCCTCTCTTTCTTTCTCTCTCGTTCTCACACACATTTGCTCACTTTCGGTCCATTCCGCTAAGAAATTATTCTCATCGTCGTATCGACCTACTCGACGCTCTACCATCGTGAGTACACCCGGGAGAGTCCGGAATAAATTACTATCCGTGGCCGGGAACGGATAGTGAGACTTGGTTTAATGATGAGAGCGCGCTCGATTAACGCGAGCGCGCTTAAACTGCTGATCGAGTGACAAAGACAATATCGCGATCGATCGTCTGCGCGCGGACGTTCGTGAGCTTCAGCAGGCGCGAACCACACGAGGAGCTCACGAGCGGTCTGTCGCAGCGAGATGATGCACGAGCGACGTGCGTTCCGGGACGAAGGAGCAGGGAATAGACAAGTAGCTGAGACAGCTCACGTGGAATAGTTTAGTTCGAGATATTTAGCGAGTAAACGCGCGATCATCGCTGCTGGATCAGCGATCAACCCGCCAAGAGGACCACCCACCATTCACTGTTCCTTCAACCGAGCAAGTTCGTTGCCCACAAGGCTTTACCTGTTTCGAGGTGTTTTAGGAGAATTTTTCGCCCGAAAGCTCTCTCGGCACAAACCAGCATATCAAGGAATCGACACATTTCTCATGACAATAAATTACACACACACATATATATATTATATATATATATATATATATATATATATATATATATATATGTGTGTATATATATATATGTGTGTATATATATATATATATACACACACACACATATATATATTATATATATATATATATATATATATATGTGTGTATATATATATATGTGTGTATATATATATATATATATATATATACACATATATGACATTTACTGTTTCTCTCTCTTTCTCTCTCTCTCTTTGGAGAATTTTCTCGAGGAAACTGTGTTCGACTCCTTCATGGGTTTGTGCCGACCATATGAACTCTCGAGGCTCGATTTTACTTCGTAGATGCACATCACGGAGATCACTTCGTGATATCGAACAGTTTATCGCGTTTCTTAGATGCGAAACGTGACAGCCACGGGTTTCGCATCGTCGACGACTTACGTCGTGTAAGGCAAAAGTACCAATGCCTGGACACTAATAACACTGGTACCTAATTCTAAATATTTTTATTATTTCAATTCTTGAATATTTAAACTTTCAACGTTGAATATATGTGTATTCTATATAGTATATTTATTTATTTCAGCTTATATGCCAAAAACAGACTTGATTTACAAAATTATTCCTTAACACCACACATTCATCCATACCCTATCCTACTTAATATCTCCTACTTAATATCATATATATATATATATATATATATATATATATATATATATATATATATATATATATATATATATATATATATATATAT